TGCATTGGCTGCAGACAGCTTCATAGTGCTGTGCTTTTAACCCATTGCACCACCAGGGAGGACCCATTTATAAACAATTCTAATAAAAAAGTTACTAGAATTTAAAAGTAAATTTAGCAAGGTTGTACATTATAAGGACATACACAAAAATCATTTGCATCTCTGTGGACTAACAGTGAGCAGTCAGAAAATTAAAAAATTGGGGATTCCCTGGTGACACTAGGGGTTATGTCTCAGCACTCTAAAACAATCCACATTTACTGCAGCACCAGTTCGACCCCTGGCCAGGGTGCTGACCCATATGGCATAGCAGATATCCCCTATCTCACGTGCTGCTACCCTCAGAAGTGTGTTTCAGTGGATCTGCCTGTTCTGATCCCTACTCTGTCTCTGTTGAATCCTTTCACCACATCCACACCTACATCTCTGGCCTATATCCCAGTTCTTGGATGCATAAATAAATAAATATAAATACATTTAACAAAAGGTATTGAGGCCTTATCACCAATACCACATAACATTGCAAGAGAAAATTAATCAAGACCCAAATTAATGGAGTTGTAGCATTGCTCATGATTGGAAAACTCAATTTAGTTAAAGTGTCAGTTCTCCTAAATTCATCTATGGGGCCCTTCCTGGTGGCACAAGGTGTTAAAAGTTCAGCACTATGAAGCTATCTGCAGCCACTGCAGCACAATTTCAATCCCTGGCCAGGGAGGTGATCCACATGGCACAGCAGAACTCTCCTGTCTCTCCTGCTACTCCCTTCAGCAGTGAATTTCAGTCAGTCTGCCCGTTCTGCTCCCCATTCTGTCTCTGATGAATCTGCTCACCCCCTGCACCTCTGTCCTGTACTGCAGTTCTTGTATGCATAAATAAATAAATTTTAAAAAAAAATTACCTACAGTGTGGTGCATGTACTTAATGGAATATTACTCAGCAATCAAAAAAATAAACTCACCTTTTGCAGCAACATGGATAGAGCTGGAAGGGATCATCCTTAGTGAAATAAGCCAGAAAGAAAAAGAAAATAACCAAATGGTTTCACTCATAGCAGGAGGATAAAGGACCGGGGGGGGGGGGAAATAATAATAATGAACAACTATATACCAGAGACATTTTACGGGGGTGGAGTGGGGAATGGGATCAAAAATCGGGGAGGAGGGGTAGTGCAGGTGACTATGGTGATGGCAAACGGGTGAATTGGTGGTAAAAATCCCACAGGGATTACAACTAAGATGGAAAAAGCACAAAATGATGTAAAAATAAACTATTATGTATAAAAAAAAAGTTGGATGAGTGAGTGCTTATTTAGGCCACCTTTATCTTTAGCCTGCCTGGCTTGTTCATGTAAGTGGAGAGACTGCAATTAATTTAATTCATCTTCAGTAAAGGTGGCCATGCAGTGCTTTCCCCTGTGTGGCCCCTAGATACCTCACCAGGATCCTGGGTTACCTGTTGAAATACTCATTTCTGCACCTCACCCCAGACCCATTTTGTCTTGATATATATGTATCCAGGTATGAAAACTGCTTTCAACTTAATATTGAGCTTATTTAACCAGCAAGTTCTGTCCTAAGACTTTAGGGCAATTAAAAATATTAACATAGGGCCCTCCCTGGTGGCGCAGCGGGTTAAAGCACAGCACTGAGAATCTAAAGCTGCTTCCGCATGAGTTCGATCCCTGCCTGCCCTGGAGGTGACCACATGGCGTGGCAGACCTCTCCTGACCCACCAGCTGCTCCCCTCAGCAGTGT